GAATGTAATCTGTACTTTTAAATCTCATTTAAAGGGAACAATAGTAATAGTAATATCTAATTGAATATTTTTATAGAACCCCCCACCCTCCCTGGTTGCCGGTGAACCTTAAAAAGCTCTGGTCGAATCCACCAAACCCCACAAAACTGTATCCTGCAAATTAATGTCAAGTTGGCCAGTACAACACTTTAAACACTCCACCTATCTCACATTTTGCTCCTCACCTATTCTCCTCGTTTTCAGTTTTCTATTCTCTTTATACCATAGTCTAATTTGTCATTTCCTTTTAAAAGCATATCCTATCGCTGAACCCTCACGATGCCTCTTCTCGAAGCCCGTGTCAAGAGCATTCTGTCGGGCGACACCCTCATCCTGACTCATGTCACCAACCGCAGCCAGGAACGGACTTTGAGTTTGGCCTACGCCTCTGCCCCGCGGCTACGTAGAGAAGGTGACGAGGTAAGTTTCAATCCCTCGCAGGAGAGAACCCTCTCTAAATGCCCCATTCACACGTTCATTCCTTTAGTTACTGGTTCCTCGACCGTCCCGCATATGGCCATTATCTCTCCAATTCTTCGCTAATTTCTAGTTTCTTAATGTGACACAACTCGTACCCATAGCCATTTGCCTTTAAGTCTCGAGAATTCCTGCGTGAGCTGCTTGTCGGCAAGGTTATCCAGTTCCAGGTGCTCTACACCGTCCCCACTACGAAACGAGAATACGGTATCGTGAAGCTCCCTAATAACCAGGAGCTGCCAGACATAAGCCTGGCGGAGGGATGGGTTAAATTGCGCGATGATGTGAGCAGGCAAGAAGAGTCTGAGGATACTGTGGCGCTCTTGGACAAGCTGCGAGGTCTCGAAAGCCGTGCTCGGACGGAATCAAAAGGGCTTTGGGCATCGACTGGCGGGCACATCGAGTCAGCTTACGAAGTGGCAGATCCAAAGGCATTAGTTGAGAGTGAGAAGGGGAAGCAGATCGACGCAGTTGTGGAAAAGGTGCTTAGTGGCGACCGTTTGTTGATACGACTATTGCTCTCTCCAGAGAAACATCTTCAGACCCTGGGTTGTTATTGCGGGAATCCGTGCTCCAGCTACAAAACGGACAAATGCTGATGGTACGGAAATACCAGGTGAACCATTGGGAGAACAGGCTCAGCAATTCGTGGAGCTCAGGCTGCTTCAGAGGAAGGTTAAGATTTCACTGCTGGGTGTGAACCCGCAGAACCAGCTTATTGCCAACGTTCTCCATCCCAATGGCAATATTGCCAAGTTCGTTCTAGAGGCTGGACTGGCAAGGTGTGCAGATTACCATTCTACTATGATTGGGAAAGAGATGGCTACCTTACGACAAGCTGAGAATGCGGCTAAGGAAGCTCGGAAAGGGCTGTTTACCGGGTTTGCTGCCCCCAAAGGAGGGTCTGCTGCCGCCCAAGTGGACTTCGTTGTTAGTCGCGTGTTTAGTGCAGATACGATTTTTGTACGATCAAAGACTGGAAAGGATGAGAAGAAAATAAGCCTCAGCAGCGTCCGGCAACCAAAACTATCCGATCCCAAGCAGGCGCCATTTATCGCGGAAGCCAAGGAGTTTTTACGCAAGAAGCTCATTGGTAAACACGTCAAAGTCAAGATTGATGGAAAAAGACCTGCATCAGAAGGGTTTGAAGAACGTGAGGTTGCTACAGTCATATCAGGAAATACGAACGTGGCATTGCTTCTCGTACAGTCCGGTTACGCTTCTGTCATCCGACATCGTCGGGATGATGACGATCGCTCTCCTGAATACGATGCTTTACTACAAGCGGAAGAAACTTCTCAGAAGGAAGGAAAGGGAATGTGGTCTTCTAAACCACCAACAACAAGAACACCACAGGACTACTCTGAAAGTGTACAAAAGGCTAAGATTCAGGCCTTCTGTGATGCAAAGACAGAGGAAGGTTCCTGGTGTAGTCGATTTTGTAAAATCTGGCTCGAGATTCACCATCTTATTTCCCAAAGATAATGCCAAACTCACGCTCGTCCTTGCTGGTATTCGTGCGCCCAAATCAGCAAGAAACCCAGGAGAGACTTCAGAACCCTTTGGCCAAGAAGCCCATGACTTTGCCTATCGGAGATGCATGCAGCGTGACGTCGAAATTGACGTGGATACCACTGACAACTTTGGCGGTTTCATCGGCAGCCTATATGTCAACAGAGAAAATTTTGCCAAGGTTCTCGTTGAAGAGGGCCTTGCCACTGTCCACGCCTACTCTGCTGAGCAAAGCGGGCATGCTGCGGAGCTTTTTGCAGCGGAAAAGAAAGCTAAAGAGGCACGGAAGGGCCTGTGGCATGATTGGGATCCAAGCAAAGATCTCGAAGAGAACGAGGACAATTCACTCAGCGCAATCAATGGTGCAGATGATGGCACAGATGCCCTTGAGCGAAAGAAGGACTATCGCGACGTAATGATCACAAACGTCGACGAAACAGGGAAACTAAAAATCCAGCAAATCGGTGCGGGCACCACTGCACTCATCGAGATGATGAACGCCTTCCGAGCCTTCCACCTAAATAAGGCCAATGATACGCCGCTAAGTGGCCCACCCAAGGCTGGAGACCTAGTCGCTGCCTGCTTCAGTGAAGATAATGAATGGTACCGAGCCAAGATCCGGCGAAATGACCGGGACGCCAAAAAGTCTGACGTTGTCTACATCGATTACGGCAATTCGGAAACAGTCCCCTGGACCCGTCTGCGACCACTGACACAACCCCAATTTTCCACGCAGAAAGTTAAGCCGCAGGCGTCCGATGCGGTTCTCTCGTTTCTGCAATTTCCTGTCTCTGCTGAGTACCTGCAGGACGCGGTGGAGTATCTGGGTGAACGGAGCTTTGACCGGCAGTTAGTTGCTAATGTTGATTATACAGCGCCTGAAGGGACGTTGTATGTTACTCTGCTGGATCCGTTGGAGTCAAAGAGTCTCAAGCAAAGCATCAATGCTGATGTGATTCGTGAGGGTCTCGCGATGGTCCCGCGCAAATTGAAATCATGGGAACGGTCTGCGGGGGAGACGTTGGCGTATCTGGAAAAGTTGCAGGAGGAGGCTAAGGAGGGACGGAAGGGGATGTGGGAGTATGGAGATCTGACGGAGGATTAAAGATGTTTCAAGTAGAGGAGAGGGGGGGGGGGGGGGGGGGGGG